TTTATGTATTAATGCCAACAATACACAAGGACCCAGGATGTTGATGCTGACAGGAAGGATGCTTTCAGAGTCAGGTTAAGAAGTGACAGCAGCTACGTCTTTATTCCACCCAAATGGAGGGAGAGTGAGGTCTCCCAACTCTGAGACAATCAGTCAGGCCACAGTGTCAGGAGCTTCTCAAGCTGTGGATGTAGCGTGTGGCATGGTGACAAAGGTACCTTGGGAAGAGCAGGTGGCGGTGCTGATGGGTTGAGTCCTTACAGCCTGTCCCCTCCCTGCACCTCCTCTTTGTTCTTGCTCTCTAGCACCCCAGCTTTCTGCTGTTTGCTCTAGCCTTGTAGTCAGCATCTCATTTGCACCCCCTCTTCGTTCACGCCACTCCTGCCCTCTGACCCAGTGACCCCAACCACCATTGCTTCCTTCCCCAGGAGAGTCTGTGTCTGGGCCTCAGCTGAGGTCATCAAGTCGCGCCCACACAGATGCTTGGGTTTGGCAGGGGCTGGGGTCTGCCAGCATGTTTTGTAAAATCATTTGGGGTGTGGTTAATTTACATAAATATTACACATTGGGTTTGGATCCAAGCACCGCTCAGAACTCCAGCCTAGTCCAAGGCGCCCCTTGCTCTGGTCAGCCAGCCCAGGGCTAGTCCCCAAGAAGAAAGCCTTGCCTTTCAGAGTGGAATCTCTCCAACGCAACACAGCCCGGCCAGCTCCTTGGAGGGCATTTCTACCACTGGACCTCCTCCTGCTCCAGCAGTGGTCAGTACTCTGCTCAGAACCTCACTCTGCAGTGCTGTGACCGTCCCAAGGCCACCAGTTCCATTGGCAGCCTGTCTCGCTACTGATGGGGGGATGGGTTGTTCTTGCTAGCTCTGTCCCAGCCAGAAGGAAGAGCCCACATTGTCCTACCTCCCACTCAGACTTACCTCAGTCTCCCTGGGAAGGAGTTCGCTTACTATCACCCAGGAAGGAGCCCTCTGGAAGAATCTAGCAGGTTTAACACAGGTCACTGGGCCAAAATGTTTTCTGAGATACAACCACACACTGATGCTTTTCTATGAAGATCCTCTAGTGTTTTTCTATTGGCCTGTGATAAAAGTCCAGGATCTTTAGCTTTTGGGGACAGATGGAGGATAGGGTCTCACTATGTAGGCCTGGCTAACCTGGGATCACAGGTGCATGCTTCTATGCCTAGCTGACAGTCCCAGCTCTTTGAAGGGGCTTGCACCCTTGGACCCTTCCAACTGTTTATCTCCAATATCTCTCCTAAGTTGGCCTATTTCCTGTGTATCCCAAGCGGTTCATGAGACTGGTACAGGATGACATCGCTCAGAATTGGTGATAGTACAGAAGACTGAGGATGTGTACCCTATGTCTACCTGGCTGTCTGGTGCAGGATGCAGTAAATGTCTTCGTTAGTATTTGGACCATAGTTTTCCATTGTATTTAGTGAATTGAATTTGTGTTTCCATGTACAGTACATGGGAACACATGTGTTCGTTGTTAGAGATTTGTAGCTGCCCTGTGCGTCCTCTTTGGACACACTTTAGGACACTGAGGTGTCCTGGCCCCGGCCTTGCTCTGTCCTTTATGGTGTCCCCATTTGAGTTCAGGAGCCACACTGGTCAAGGTTCAGCTCCTACAACACAGCCTCATTCTCTTTGACCTGTGAGGGACATTATGTAGGCAAATTATTGTGTGTTGTTTGAGCTCACAGAGAAGCTGGAAGCCAGGTTGCCCCACCCCACTTCAGACCTAAGCATGTTTGTGTCAAGTGTCCTCCAAGGCCCCTTGTCTGGACGTGAGTTGACTGCCCCCCCCAGCTCTGTGATGGGGAGGGGAGAAAAACTAAATATCCCAAGAGTGAACTGTGTCATTGCAGACAATTGAAGGCAAGCCATTTCTAACAGAAGTTGCTGACCTTTGTCCAGTGAAATAAAAATGCCTACAGTGGGAATGGAAGCAAAAGGTTCAGCCATGGTCAGACCATCTGGAGAGAAAAGCTCAGCCAGGAACTCCAGCTGATGGCCGCGTCCTCCCCAGCTGATGGCCGCGTCCTCCCCAGCTGATGGCCGCGTCCTCCCTGGTTGCTTTCTGCTGGGTGCTGTAAGCGCCGGTTTGACGATGCTATCTGCTGCTCGTGCTCTTACTTTGGCTAGGTGCACACTTAACAAACTCACCTGAGCAAAACCAAAGTATGACTGTTGTAGATCATTTTCCAGACTGCACAACAGACCCCCGTGGTGGCCTCGGTGTCCCATCCTCTATGTAGAAGTGCCACCTGCAGGGTTGCTGGGAAGGGCCCATGGGACAGGGTCCGACTTTGCAGACACAGAGGTGAGCTGCTGCTCTCCTGATCCATCTCGTATTGAACTCAGCAGCCCCCAGCTGTGTGATTCTGGGGAAGTTACTTAGTGCTTCTCTGAGCCTAATCTTCTGATTTGTGAAATGGTGTGAGAACCACTTCTGTAGACGGATTTTTCTTTGGGTTGACAGCTCTCAAAAACAACATGAAGACTTATTACTAATTATGAAAGTTCGGCCTTAACTTAGGTTTGTTCCTAACTAGTTCTTATAACTTAAATTAACCTGTGTTTTTGAATTTGTGTTCTGTTACATGGCTCTGTTACCTTAACTCTGTACATCCTGCTTCCTCTCCATCTGCCTGGTGACTTCGCCTTTCTTCTTCCCAGAGCTTCTCTCTTTCCAGAATTCCCTGCTATGTCTCCTGCCTTGCTATTGGCCATTCAGCTCTTTATTAAACCAATCACAGTGACACATCTTCACACAGTGTAAAAGAATATTCCACAGCATACCTCTGACTGCTCTGAGGGCTGCGTGATCTGTAGAGCCAGATGTGGTCAGTGCCTGACCTCAGTGTGCATGCTCGAGAAAGGGCTGCAGGGCAGCCTGGATCCACCCGTGCACAATGTTCAAATGTGGTCAGCATCTCACTGCACTCCGTAAAGATGCATTTTTGTTATCTATTAATTAAGAAAATGCTTGCTGCTGTTATTAATTTGTCTTAAATGTCAACTCAGGTCCCATGATCCTTATATTAGCCGACTGTATATTTCATGAAAAATACTTAATTCCCCTCACTAGCATTACTATAGTTATTTTTAGAATCATTTTTAAAGCACAAACAAGAAAATTAAAACCTGCGATCTATCCAAATGTTGGTGTTTTTGTGGTTGCTCTGTTTTTTCTTTTCTGTGTACTATTAGTGTATATATATGCATATATATACATATATATGTACACACACACACATAAAGCATAAATACTGAAATGTTTCATACAATCCTTGCTTAGAGCGAGCAGTGGCTCTTACTTAGATAGGGCAGTTGGCTCAGTCAGTGCCTGAGTCTTGTGGAATGTCCCTGGTGCCCCTCATGTAAACAGGCGAGCCTGGGACTCCACACACTGGGCCTTTTCCTCCGTGTGGAACCTCCTGGCTGCTCGGAAGAGGTGCTGTTAGGGGCACAACAGTCGTCACACAGACTATTTGTTGACTTGAACTACTGAACCGTCCAGGCAGTTTGAGCTGGATTCCATGGACATCAAATTAGAGTGGTTTAAACTCTCTCTTACGTATCTCCCTGCTGTTCCTTGCTGGCCAATGTGAAGGCGAGGGTTCTAGAGCCAGGCAGTGCCTGCTCCCCAGAAGGCAGAGGGCCTGGGGGAGTTGCTGGCTGTGCAGAGGGGGGGGTGTGCACGGCCTGGCTCTTGCTTCCAGGGTGCTGATGCCGCAGATTGAAAACCAGATTTCAGGCTCTCCAGAGCTAGGAAATCATTCCAGCAGATCAGTTTTCTCTGAGCTCATCTCTAGGATCAGCTCTGCTTGCGTTGCTGAATTATTTAGAGACTACTGAATTCCAGCAGCAGCTCTCTAGCAAGGCTCCGGGTGTGACTCGGTGAGAGGCTTCGCGTCCCAGGTGTCTCTCAGGAGCTATTGTTGGATGTGGGTCATCATGAAAGCTTTCACTTAGAATTATTCTCCAGGGTCTGTGTTACATGGCATCACATAGCATCACTATGAAGTTGTGTGTGTGTGTGTGTGTGTGTGTGTGTGTGTGTAGGGGGGGGGTGCTTGTGGAGGTCAAAGGTCAACTTCCAGTGTCCTCTATCTCTTCAGCACAGGGATTACAAACTGATAGCACTATGCCTGGATTCTTTTTTTTTTTTTTTAACTTGAGTTCTGGGGTCAAACCTGGGGCCTTGTGTTTACTACTTTACCAACTGAAAAGCTTCCACTCTTAGGATACTTTTATTTAACCCAAAGTGACAAGTTCAACATATTTTCATTGGCCCTAAATCCAAATACATCACTTTCCCTGTAGAGGAAAAGTCATGGGACTCTTGGTGTGCTCTGAACCACCAGTCCCTTGCTGTCAATCACTGTAGCAGACCAAAGCCTTCCTCCACTGGGAGAAGGGGATGAGAAGACACGGTCCTAAAGTTGTTCATGAGCAGCCTCTCATGATGCAGTGAGCTGTATTTGTAATGAAATTGTGCTCGATGTGCATGCGTGTGTGTGTGTGTGTGTGTGTGTGTGTGTGTGTGTGTGTGTGTGTGCACGCGCACGCGCACACACACACACACACACACACACGTGGGCACGAGTGTGCAGCAGCCAAGGTGGTAGAGCTTGCGGAGTGGATTTTCAAAGGCTAGTACACTGCTGATACGGAAGCTGCAGAACTTTGGAATCTAGGCCAGTCGGGAAGAAGGGGGTGTGTGTCCCTGTGAACTTGTCAGCTTGAGAATGTTGTTTAATAATGATACGGACATCTGCCTTCTGCGAGCTGGGCCTGTGTGGTCAGTGGGTCCTCAGGCCTTCTAGTGATTCCCGATTCAGTGTCACTGGCGTCGGAGCCTGGGGACGCCAAGGTCAGTGTGTGTAGAATCTCTGGTGTCTGACACTCAGACACAGCTGAGGACCAGCTGCTGCCAGCTCTCCGACGTTTGCGATCTCACTGCCTTGTCTGTGTTTTACAGTTCTATGTGCTGAAAGAGTTGGCCAGATGACTAAGACATACAATGACATAGACGCTGTCACCAGGCTTCTTGAGGAGGTGAGTGTCCGGGGGAGGGGCGGGCTTCTGTGGGGATGGTTCCCATGGGCTCCCTGCCTGTTCAGGAAGGAGCCTCACACTGGGCCCTTGCAGGATACATATAATCCAGTGGTTTCATTTTGGTATTTATCCATTTTGAGACAGGATCTCACTATGTAGCCCTGGCTGGCTTGGAACTTGCTGTGTAGACCAGGCTGACCTAGAACTCACAGAGATCTACCTGCCTTTGCCTCCCAAATGCTGAGATTAAAGGTAATCACCATCACACCCAGTAACTCTGTCTTTTCACTGGTAACTGTGTGCCGAGGTCTTTGCAGCCATTGATTTTGTGGGCATGTATTGGATTTGTTGTTAATGTTTGAAAAGAGAATCTTGTGAGGCCAAGGCTGGCCTCACACTTGCGTGTAGCTGAGGCTGGCTTTGAACTCCTTGTGCTCTGACCTCTGCCTCCTGGCTGAGGTTACAGGAATGTACCATCATGCCCAGCTGCTATTTAGATTGAGGTTGCCCAGCCTTCTGGCGTTGTAGTATGGCATTGCCGTGTACAAGCGTGTTGACCCACATTCATAACTGCCCTGAGATGTATACAGTCAGTCGGCAGGGTGCAGGCCAGACACACCTTTTTAGATTCTTGATATTACAAGTTTACAACACAAAAATACAGTGCCGTTTAAGTACTTGTTGGAATACCCAGTTTCTGACCAGAGAAACCCAAACTGTCTCCGGGAGAAGAATGTTTCCTTACCTGTGGCTTCCTGAGTGTAGTGTATGCCCTTGCTTAGTCTGGCCAGTGGAGCGGGGTACAGTGTCAACACAGAGGCACAAAGCGACGGGACGGTCACTCCGGTCAGGGTGGCTACACGCCCTTGAGAGACTGACGGCTGTGGCGTTCTCAGTTGGTCCCGGTGTTTGTTTTCATTTGGGAACAGGGTCTGTGCAGTTCCACACATGGGTATACCTGTGTATCTGCAGGCCAGGGTGGGCAGGGCTTGGGGAGAAGTATTGGTAATTTTTCCCCCGTGACCAAATCTGACAGAAACAGCTTGAGGGGAAAGGGCTTTAATTGTTTTTTAAGATTTATTTGTTTATTATGTATACAGTGTTCTGCCTACATGCATGCCTGCGGGCCAGAAGAGGGCACCAGATCTCATTACGGATGGTTGTGAGCCACCATGTGGTTGCTGGGAATTGAACTCAGGACGTCTGGAAGAGCAGCCAGTGCTCTTAACCACTGAGCCATCTCTACAGCCCCGAAAGGGCTTTAATTTGTGTTCACAGTTTCAAGGAATCTCAGCACAACCATCAGGGGAAGGTATGGCAGAGAGGCTTCACCTGTGGAAGTGAGAGCATGAAGTACTGGTTGTTCATGGGGTGGCTAGCGGCGAGGACCAGGTTACAGCCTTCAAAAGCCAGCCCTAGTGACCCTCTGCCTCCAGCCAGGCCCCGCCTCCTTAACTTGCCACAGCCTCCCAACACAGCACCACCGGCTGGGGGCTTCGTGTTCAAAACAGCAGGGCTGTGGAGGGATCCCTTGATCAGGTCAGACCCTAACATGCCCGCCCTTCAACACCGGCCCTCACCACAGACCTGACCTTCAGTGGACAGGTGGCTTAGGGCCTTGTTTCTGGAATCTCAATGACTCTGGGTTCGGTGACTTCTTTAGCACCTCCCCAGGAAGAGGGTAGGGTCTTGGGGGAGACCCTGCAGGCCCCGGCAGT